TCGACGTATTGTGCATTTGCAAAGTATAGCAAATCAACTTCCTGATGCTTTTGCAGATACCAAAACGGTAACTAAATCATATATACCAGCTGCAAATGTTCCTGCTCGAATTGAAATACCACAAGAAAGTGGAAGAGCAGATGATACACGTGAGTCTAAAACACGCTTGAAACGTGGTAGACCAGTTGGTGCTAAGGATAAAAATCCTAGAAAACGAAAGGAAGTTGAAAAGCATGATATTCCCAAAATAGCAGAAAGCATTTTGGAAGAAACGAATCATGAGTCTAATGACAATGTTGAGCATCATGATCCTGAAGGAAATCATGAGATTTCTATCAACTATATCCATAATGGAAAGATCTGGGATCGAAATAAAATGGATGATGTTAATGACGTTTTCTCATACCTTTTGTCAAAGGAAATTGATGAGGAAAACAAGGATCCAGAACCAAAGTCGGTATATGAATGTCAAAAGAGACATGACTGGATAAAATGGAAAGATGCAATACAAGTCGAACTTGATTCGCTCAATAAGCGAAATGTATTCGGACCTATTGTACTCACACCTGAAGATGTGAGACCGGTTGGATACAAATGGGTTTTCGTTAGAAAACAAAATGAGGAAAATGAAATTACAAGATACAAGGCTCGTCTCGTATCTCAAGGATTTTCTCAAAGACCCGGGATTGATTATGAGGAAACATATTCCCCCGTTATGGATGCTATAACATTTAGATTTCTGATGAGTCTAGCAGCTGGCGAAAATCTAGAGATGCGTCTCATGGATGTCGTTACAGCATATTTATATGGATCATTGGATACAGATATCTATATGAGAGTTCCCGATGGGTTTAATATGCCAAAAGCATTAAAATCTAAACCCAAAGAGTTATGTGCAATAAAGTTGCAGGGAGCATTATATGGGTTAAAGCAATCTGGACGAATGTGGTATAATCGTCTCAGTGAGCATTTAACGAAAGAAGGATATGTGAATGATCCTATATGCCCATGTGTTTTCATAAAGAAAACAAATTCCGGATTTGTGATAATCGCGGTATATGTTGATGATCTAAACATAATCGGGACTCAAGCAGAAATACAAGAAGCAACAAACTATTTAAAAGGGGAATTTGAGATGAAAGATCTCAGACAAACAAAATTTTGTCTTGGCCTACAAATTGAACATACTCAAAAGGGTATATTTGTTCATCAATCCACATACACCAAAAGAGTGTTAAAACGTTTTAATATGGATAAGGCAACTCCTCTCAGTACTCCAATGGTCGTTAGATCACTTAATGTTGAGAGTGATCCATTCAGACCACCTGAGGAGAATGAAGAGATACTCGGTCCTGAAGTACCGTATCTAAGTGCAATTGGAGCCCTTATGTATCTTGCAAATTGCACTCGACCTGATATATCTTTTTCAGTCAATCTTTTGGCTAGATTTAGTTCATCCCCTACACGAAGACATTGGAATGGGGTTAAACATGTCTTTCGTTATCTTCAAGGGACTATTGATTTAGGGTTATTTTATCCTAAAAATATAAATGGTCAAATGATTGGTTTTGCAGATGCAGGCTATTTATCAGACCCACACAAAGCTCGATCACAAACAGGATACGTGTTCACGATTGGAGGTACTGCTATATCATGGCGTTCTCAGAAGCAGACGCTTGTAGCTACTTCTTCAAATCATGCTGAAATCATCGCACTCCATGAAGCGAGTAGAGAATGCGTATGGCTACGATCGATAAGTCAACACATTCAAACAAGTAGTGGAATTCGTCTAAAAACGGAGCCAACTATCTTGTATGAAGACAATGCTGCATGTGTTGCTCAGACAAAGGAAGAATTTATCAAAAGCGATAGAACCAAACATATCCCTCCGAAGTTCTTTTCATACACCCAAGAGCTCGTGAAGAATAAAGACATTGAAGTAAGATATGTCCAATCATCCGAGAATTCTGCGGATCTCTTCACAAAATCATTGCCCACCTCTATGTTCAGAAAACATGTTCATAATATTGGAATGATTCGTCAACAAGACTTGTAAGTTATGATCCTGATCATTCGAGGGGGAGCTTGCGCGGTTGCACTCTTTTTACCTACTATGGTTTTTCCCACCGGGTTTTCCTAGAAAGGTTTTTAACGAGGCAACATGAAGCACATCGCAAAGACATGAATGACAAATGAACTCCAAGGGGGAGTGTTACAAAAATCAAACTCTTGAATATTGAATGGAGCTCATAAGTCATTCAATCACTACCATAAAGTAATAGAATAGTTTGGTGTAGTGGAATGGTTTGGAGTAGTGGAATGGTTTGGAGTAGTGGAATAGTTTGGTGAAATTATTTGGTACTATAAATATGTTCTTCCACTCCATTGTAAGATACACCATTGATTCACTTAACAAAGAAATGTATAGTTTCTTCCCACATTATTACTCTCTCTCCCTTATATTTCTATCTCTTTAAATAATTTTATTATTATACCATTTTCAACATAAATGATTGATAGAAAATTTACGATACATTATTTTTCTTAATTATAACAATAAGGGTTTTATCGTATTATACAAAGGAAATTTGATAAAAAGAAAGAGTGAATGGGCCATTGATCAATCATCGTCATCACCATAAAGGACCTACATTTTCATCCCAATCCAGAACTTTAGCGTTGGACAAATCAAATTCATATCCCATTCCCATTAGGTGAGGTCTTGCTTGTTTTTTCTTATAGCTAATGTATGAGTTTGTATTATTGTTTACAAGTTAAGATAATAAATTCTTTGTGAAATAAAATCATAAGATTTTAGTTTGATAATCAGAGTAACCGAAAAACGATAAGTTCAAACGTGGAACTCAAAAATAAAAAAAAATAAAATTAAAATATGCTCTATATTTTGTATACATGATATTAACATATATCAATGCAATTATACAAATATTTGGGTTTGAAATAACCAAAAATCTTAAATCTTCATAACTTGGGGAATAATATGAATAAGCCTTTCGTTAAAAGTGAACATTGTACTTGTAGACAAACTATAAAAACATTCCTGAGCGTGAACAAAAAATGTTTTATAACGAAGAGAATTCAAATTAAATTCAAAGTCTATAAAGCTTAAAAATTCGATTCTTCTTTTGCAAAAATAGATTTTGTATGCTTTTTTCATCATAGCTCTTCATCGGTCGTGGGCTCTCTCACATTCACTTTTCATTCTTTTATAAGTAAAGACACTTTTCTTTACTGTCATCCTTAGTATTATTTTCTCTTTCTCTTTTTATTTCATTTGTTTAATTTTTTAAAATTTAGTCCAGACCAAATATGGCCTAACCCCATCTGAGTTCTTTGTTATCCGTACGTAGAATTAAACAATCCTGTTACGATTTTAAGTTTTCTTTTCTTCCTTGGTTTTATGATTTTTGGTATATATTACAAAAATTAAACAATAAACCGACGTCGTTTTGTGCCCAAAAAAACAAGAGATAAAATGACGTCGATAAATATTAAAAAAAAAAAACGAGATTACTAGTTTGGATTTTAATGGGCTTGATCGGCCCATCTTAAACCAGCAAAACCAGGCCGTGATGGGCTTCTTTCGATCTCCGGCGAGTTACCTTCACCGGAAACAATGGTCTCTGTGTAGATAGATCGCGAAGAAGAGCTATGAAACTGAATGAATCAGATTAGAGAATCGAAGAACTCGTATCAGTTCTGCTAAATTCAATGGGTAACCAACGACGGAGATCGGTATTAGCCCTAATTTTCATCTACTGCGCCATTTCTTCTACCTCATCTGATCAGGTTAGAGAATGAATCTCCATTGCGATTTAGGGTTTCTGATTTCTTGATGAATCTGTTTTAGAATCTGGGAATGATTGCAATTTACTTGCAGGTTGGAACAAATTATAGAGATTCTGATGCATTCTTCAATTCCGATTCAATCTGTATCTCTGATCAATACATTATGGAGTCTTATTTCACTAGACACACTTCCTTAGGCGATTCAGAGTTTCGAAACTTCTTGCTTCTTCAACAATGTTCTAACAAAGTTCATACTCAAGATTCAAATATTGTTCCTTCAACTTCATTGATACAACACAGAAACATTACAGGTGAAGGTTCTCATCGTAATCTCCTCACATCCATCAAGTTTCAGCTTCTTCATCTTCACTCTGAGTCTGAGTTTCGCGAGCTCGTGATCGTTGAACGGTTGCCTTTGGGAGTTTTTGCTGATCCTTTTGAGCTTCAGAGTCTTCAGCAACGTAAAGGTTAAGAAAGAAAGATAAATCATATGAAAGTTTTTTCACTTCTGGATTTGATGGAAGCTTGAATCTTTTTGCAGTTTTCAGTGACGTATCTGTGTTTGGAGACACGAATCTTGAGCTACCTTCGTTTAGATCAAACAGGTCTGTCGTTGAGATTCATGTCGAAATCAGTTCTAGAGATTATGAAAATGGTGGAATCAGCTTAAAGCTTCCTTTACATGCTCGTTATCAGGTAAATTATCACTTGATCTCAGTCTTGTGTTGATCGATATCGATAAGGTCGGATCTTTACTTCTCTATTATCTCCACAGCCTCTGGACGACAGTGGATACTCTAGAGTGGAGTTTGGAGGGCCAGACCTGTTCTTGTGCTCGAGCCATGTACAAAACCAGCGACATGAACAGAGAAGATGTTTGGTTTTGTTGATTGGCAGATTGAAGACTGAAACCAGGTCTGTTTTCTGGGATATCCCTGCAGGAATCAGGGGTCATACAGAGTATGTTTCCGCCTTGACATTCGCAGCTGCGGTTTTGTCTGCGTTTTCAATTCTTGTGGCATCGGTTTTGAGCTCCAAGGTTGAATCTTGTAAAAACTCAAAGCAGTCATGACTCAGCTTTTGGTTTCAAACTTCTTTGTGACAGTCATTGAGCAAATCGTTTTTGTTTCCTCTCAACAGAGATTGGGAAATGTTAAACCGGTCCAAAGCATAGATTTCGGACTTAGGAGAATCACAAACAAAACAGAATTTCTGTCATCTCCAACAAAATGTTTACACAACAAAAAAGCCACACGCACACGCACACACTATTACATTAACCAATAGAACCTTCAAACCGAATCGAACCAAACCAAACCAACACAAAACCAACTTCTAAGTGTTGTCTTCAACATATATTATATACCAAGTAGTTCAACTCTTCGATGCTTTAAAATCGATGAACACACCCAAGCGACTTGTTGTTGCTCTTTCGAAATCAAGCCGCAAGTACGATAATCACGATCAGGAGAACAATGCCAAATATCACCAAGAGCAAGCATGTCTGTGTGTAAACAAGATCAAGACATTAGCCTATTGTTTCCGAAAAACCATTCATTTACTGTTTTTGTCTGAAAAGTTTTTGAGTGTTTTTTACCAGAGATGAGTTTGATCTTTGTGTTTTTGCGGCTTGCGCCAGCTGAGATTTTCCTTGTGAAGTTGCAGCACGGGAGTTGTCAATGTGAGTACCGATATCATCTGCAAGAAAAAATTAAGAAAGTGAGTTCTCTAACTGTAGCTAAAAGGGCATGATCTAATTAAGTTGTATAGATCGTCTTTACCTATCATGACTCCTTGATCATTAACCAGAACCGCAAGATCTTTGAATATCTCGTTAACCTCGCCAATCTGATGATGGATTTCTTGTATTCCTTGCTCTCTTTCTTCGATCACAGCTTCATTGAATGCAATCTCGTTGTCTAACAATACAAGTTCCTGCCTGCAACAATCAAACAAGGGGGATGATTAAGTCGCATCTCAAAAATGTAGAGAGATGTGTCGAAGATTTGTTCTTTTCACAACATCACCTACCTCTTTGACTCCTGAACTTGTGCCCGCTGTTCCGGGACCTTATCTACCTCACCCGCCGTATAACTATATACCGAGCCAACCAAAACGAATAAGGAACATGAATATCAATCAAAACCACACAACCAATTCACAAAGTAATAACTTGTGCTTTACCTAGAGGGAAGAGCGGATTGAGGCACGAAAGGAGTATAAGTGGTTTCTCTTTCAGCAGCAGTTTGTTGAGCTTTCTGAAACTCTTTTAAAACAGCTTGAAAGTCCCTTGCAAGCTTAGCATCTGCAATCTTCTTACTTGGCTACACAAACACACAACTCTCACAATCAATCTCAAACACCGAAAAGATTCACATAAAACCCAAAAACAAGAAGAAGCAAGAAAGATTCCACTTTACATTGACACCACTTTGATGATCAGTTTCACTAGCTATTTTAAGTTTAGCTGAAGTATCCTTCACAAGCTGTCCAATATGCAATCTTGTCTTGTGCCTATTCACAAACATATTTGAATAATTTCAGATTTCCACAAAAAAAAAAGCAATAAAAATTGAATTTTTTTTTTATCAAAATGAAATTAGATTTCAATTTCAACTTACAGCTTCTCCCGGAGCTCCGGTGTATCTCTAGGAGTACCAAGTGTGTTAACGAGTCGTTGAAACGTGGAGACTCCGGTATTGATCTGGAAAATTCCAGAAGCAACGGCTTGTGTCGAATCTTGTCGACCACCATTGATCTTCCTCGTCGATCTTCCTTTTCCCGATTCTAAATCTTGAAAACTCATCTTCTTCGTGGAATTTGTTTCCAAAAATTTCTTTCTTGAGAAAAAAAAAAAAAACCAAAGATTGAAGATTTTGACCCTAAACTCTCCTCTTTTTTTCTGGAAAAGTTCGATCTACGACGAGATTGAGAAATTGCTTATCGGAGTTTTCTCTGAGAAAAAAAAAACGAAGGTCAAGGCGTGGATCGTGGAGACAGATAGACGAAAAATTGAAAAGCGTTCGTAACTGATTAATTGAGAAGAAGAAGAGCAGAGAGATAAAGTTGTTTTCTTTTTGATCCTTTTATTTCGATATATTTAGTAATGTCCTCGTTTCTGTGTTTTTTTTTCCAACCAAATTAAACCATTGGTTTGGTTTATTTAGATTTTAGTTTGGAATCCATAAAATCTGTTTTTATAGGAATTTGAAATCATTTTATTGGATGGAATTAAGAAAATGAGAATGAAGATGGTGATATAAAATTTTGACTTTAAACTATTTTTTTTTATTTATTGTAAAAATAAATTATCTGGTTTTTATTTTTAGCTGAAATATTTAAAATTTATGTGTTAGATTTGTGTGATTAATTATATGTTTTGATATTATATAATGCTTAATGTTTTATTATATATTTTAATTTTTATATACGCTTCCAATATGTACTTATTTCCTAAAATTTCTAAAAATATCGCTTCCACGTTTCCAAACGCTTCGCTTCCCCGTACCCGTTTCTGATTCAATGCAACCTAGGTTTGGATCAGTTTAGTCATGTTTACATGAGAAAAGAAACAACGTATAATTTCATTTTCTCGATTATTTCGTTTAACTTAAGTATTGGTTGTATGAATTGTACAGCTTTTACTTGTAAGCTCATTTGGTATATGTAATCTTTTATTAAGATTAGTGAAGAATAAGTTTAAAAAAAAATAGATTCAATTCAGTTTTAATAATAAAAAATAAATATCTAGATTTAAATTTTTCTATTAAATATACATTTATTTGGTTTGGTTTAGTTCAGATACACTAAAATCAGTTTTTATTAAGATTCGACTACGGTTTAAACATTTCAATTTGGTTCAGTACGGTTAAATTTTTTCGTTGGAGTGTTTTATTTTTTCTCACCTTTTAACTAATTTTAAAGTTATGGAAATGATGGGGATGAAAGTTTAATAATGAGAATGTTTCTAATTACTTTATCAGCATTTTCCCGCAAGATTTCCAATGATGAGAGGTTAATAAACTTTACTATATGTGAAGGCGGAAACGTTTTCGGACACGTGGACGACAGTTAATGGTGGATAAAGTGATTATGTCACGTCTTTGTATTAAAAGTACAAATATTTTAGGTTATGATTAATTTAATTAGAATCTTTCCCGACAAAGAAATAGCTCTAAGCACGACACATGTGAAGTCGCCGGCGAGCAAAAAAACACTATCTCGACGGTTACACGTACAGGAGTCGTATGTATTTAAATTGAATCCGCTTTGTAATTTTCTCACAGCCAAAGATTTTTCCTTATTTGGGTTTTTTTCTTATCTTCTGTGTTCGTTACAAATTCTGGGTGAAAGAGGAAAAATCTTCGTTTCAATCCGGTTTATATCGGTTTTAGCAATGTCGGTGAGTTAAACATATCCTAACTTTCATTCGCGAATAGATATGTTGAAATTGGCTAAATTTGGCGTTGAAATCACTAATTTTGGGATCAATGTTTACTGTTTTTAATCTATGGATTTACTTTGTTTGATAAATGTGATTAGTATCTATCTAATTAGTTAAAGTTTCTGAAGTTATTTTTGGACACAGCTTCTTATATATGTATATACTTTTAAGTTAATCAAACCATGACCAATTCGTTAACTTTAGCAATAAGGTTTTAACTTTTATGCTCTCTGGTTTCATTTTCATGTCTGAACATTGTTTAATGGCACAGATGATAACTGTTAATGTATTGTCTCTAAACATTGTCTTCATTGCAGATGGTAACTGTCAAAGTTAGCAACGTTTCTCTTGAATCAACAGAAAGAGATCTCAAGGAATTCTTCTCTTTTTCCGGCGATATTGCTTACCTAGAAACACAAAGGTCGGTTTTTTCGACTTACATTTTCATTAGAATTATGTTCTTACAGATTCCTAAAACTCTTTGAGATGGTTTTCTACAGCGAGAATGAAGGTTCTAAATTAGCATATGTTACATTCAAGGATTTACAAGGAGCTGAAACCGCAGTTCTTCTCACCGTAAATTTACTTTTTTCTTAACCTTATTCAATGAGTCATATTGGCACTTTGTTTTAATGTCGGTTTTGTTTCAGGGATCGACGATTGTTGATTCATCGGTCACAGTTACAATGTCACCAGATTATCAACTACCTCCTGAGGCTTTAGCTTCCATTGTAGGCTACTCAATAAAACCCTCAAAACTCTTTTAAAAACCTCTTTGTGATTTCAATTTTTGTCTCCTCAGGAATCATTGAAAGAGAGCAATAAATCATCATCACCTTCTCGCGAAGATGTATCGGTATTTAGAAAAGCTGAAGATGTTGTAAGTGGTATGATTTCAAAAGGGTTTATTCTAGGAAAAGACGCGATAGCTAAAGCCAAGAGCCTTGATGAGAAGCATCAGTTGACATCAACAGCTTCAGCTAGAGTCACATCTTTCGACAAAAGAATCGGATTCACAGAGAAAATCAACACCGGGACAACGGTTGTGAGCGAAAAAGTTAAAGAAGTTGATCAGAAGTTTCAAGTCACAGAGAAAACTAAATCAGCAATAGCTGCAGCTGAGCAAACAGTGACTAATGCTGGTTCTGCTATTATGAAAAACCGGTATGTTTTAACCGGTGCCACTTGGGTTACGGGTGCGTTTAACAAAGTGACTAAAGCTGCTGAAGAAGTTGGACAAAAGGCGAAAGAGAAAGTTGGTATGGTTGAGGAAGAAGAAGAAGAGAAGAAGAAAGTGGTTGATGCAGTTGCTAGCATCCATCTGACTGAATCACCAAATGCTTTAGACCAATCAGAACAAGATTCAAAACTCTCTGAATCGCAAAGGCAAGAGCAACCACAGCCACAGAAGGAGCTTAGTCCAAGTGTTGCTTCAGCTCAATCTTGAAATACATATAAGGAACTTTCTCCAAACTTTTTGGAACACAGAAGCTGACTTTTTAGGACAGGGCTTGTATGTTCCAAAAACATTGGATTGAAAATCTTCTGTTGTTGTTGTTGTTGTTGTTGTTTCTGTCTTATTTCTTCTTGTTGTTTCTCCCTTACAAGAAAAAAGGTGAAGAAAATTTGGAAGAATGTTTAAACTGAATCTCTTTTTTTGAAAATTTCTTCTTCTTTGACTAATTTTTCATTTTGGATGGTAACAAACATTTTGAAATGAACTGAAACAATAATAAGGTATTATGAATATTTAAATTACTCAGCTTAAAATACTCAAAACCTTCAATATTTTTGATTGGTACCTTGTATAATTGTAGACAACGATTCAACATGATTTGATCAAATATATAAAAATTTAAAATTATGATTTATGTTTAGTGTGATATTGTAAGTTTATTGACTTAACTTTAAATGAATTTTATGAATGAATTTATTCTTCGAATTTTTTGCAGTTTATTCAAGTTTAATGAGTTATTTCCTTTGCCCAAAAAAACAAAATGAATCATTTCTCAATTTTATTAGATTTTCAGAAATCAGAATGCAAATCAACCTCAAACTTAATATTCCAAATTCAAAAGCTAGATAAGGATGACAATGATGATGATGCTGATAAGTGAAAACGTATCATGGAAAATTACAAAGAAATAAATTTTGGTAATTAATGGTATATTACTGATTCCAACGTTGACTGTAAATTAGATTCTGTATAATATTCGAATGTTTTATGGATAATATTCGAATTATAAAGCTTTCCACTAGATGACAAAAGAAAAGTTTCCACTATGGTTAATATTCGAATGTTTTGATGTATAAAAGCTATCTTATGAATAAATTATAGTCAGTTTGACACATACACACACACAAAAAAGAATAATAAATTACAGATGTGGTGGTTATAAAGATAAATTCAACAAAGTTGACCAAACAAGAGAAGAAAAGAACAAATTGTTTTCACCGAAAATTAAATAACTTCCATATAAGCATCAAGAATTTTGTATTATAAATTAGTGAACCATATTTGATTCACCTAGTAACTCAAAAACAAGCTTTTGGTGTAAACTTTTCTTTTAACCAAACAAGAGAAAAGAAGAAAAAAAAACCATGAAGACCTCAGCTTTCTTCATTGTTGTATTGCTCATTCTATCATGTAAGTAATCTCAAATTAATCTTATTTATATGAAGTTCCAATTAAACATGCATGTGAAGGTTATATATATCTGATTGATGTGTATAATATATAATACATGAATAGGTTCATCGTCAATGATAATGGGAGTTCACTATCATGAGAACCGTTGCCATGACTGGAAAGATTGTGCTATATGGTGCAAACAATGGGTTCCTCAACCAAAATGTATTAACCATGTTTGCGATTGTAAGCCAAAATCTCTTCCGACTAACGACGAGATTCCTCAATCGACTTCTTCTTCCAATTCGAATAACTAAAATATGATTATGATTCTATGTATCCATGAGATATTTATCATCTAGTTAAACTTCATCAATATGAAAAGGTATTATAACTGTTCATCAATAAAGTTATAGCTTTGGTGTGAATAATTAAGCTAATGCGTGATGGAACAACGATGACGATGTGACGAATTTGCTTCTTCTTTCTTTTTGCTAAATCGTTGGTATAACTTGCGGGAAAAATAAATAGTTCATGAATGGTTAATGCGATACATGAAAAATTATAGTAAGATTAAAAAAAAAAAAAAAAAAAAATTATAGTAAGATATTTATACGCTGCAACATTCGAACTATTTCTTTTACCAAAAAAAAAAACATTCGAACTATTTTCAAACTTGACTTCACATAAAGTGATAAAGAATCAGCCAATCTAAGATATAAATCATTAAAAATAATATTTTACCAAAGGAGAAAACTAAAATGATATAAAAGGTAATATAAAATATATTAACAATTAAATATATACAGTTCGTATAGATATTTTTTTTTTTTACTCTTTGTGATTAATTATATCACAACCATTAACTAATCCAATATAATTAAGTGGGTGATTGGTTTGGTTTTGGTTGTAAATGAGTTGTATGTAGTTGTAAATTTTATTGCTATAAATACTTGGCTGCAAAATTATGATTTGGTCTTTTGAAAAAGATTTAGGTAATTACTAATATAATTCAAAATGTCATTTTTTGAACAATGAAAGTTGCAGATAATTACTGATATAATTCAGAATGTGAATTTTTTAATTGGGAACAAATTAAAAATGAAATCTGTGATTATAAATAACAGTGGATATGAAATCAAAACATTTTAAGAACAAAAACCTTTGTATGCCTAGTGATCTTATATTCTTAGAAAAGAAAGAGAGTTTATTAAAACTCATATGGACCCATATCACCCAACAAAAAAAAAAGAGAGAGAGCTAGAGAGATGAAATCAAACAAAGCGACCTTCTTCTTGGGCTTGTTCCTTGTATCTGCCTTCTGTAAGTTATTGCTCGTATACAAACATATGATTTGTTCATTATATGCTAAAATTTGTTTTACTTTAAATTTAATTATTTTGTTTGGACACTTTTCTTTTTGAAGGTATAAGGTTGATAGAGAGTAGGTGTTACACAAACGACGATTGTAAAGACGCGCAACCATGTCCAGTGCCTCTTGCTTGTCTATTTGGCAGCTGCATTTGTCCATGGAAAAGTCGATCTAAGTTACCAATTTGTCAAATCATATGTGCGCATTTGGATAAAAGAGCTGGAAATTCTTATGATCATACTTGTGGTTGCAACTATAAGTAAAATAAAAGAAATATAATAACAATAAAAATGATTAATTAAGTTAAAAATTTATTCTCGTTTCTTTTTAAAAAAAATCTCATGGACAGAAATTTTCCCAAATCTTATTATTTTAAAATCAGACTATTGTATTCCTTACAAAATTATTTTAACTAATAAGATTGTACTTGTTATTTTCTTTATTTTTCTCAAATATTTAGGAATTTTTAGGTCCGTAATTCCTTGGAACGAAAATCAAAGGAAGTTAGATTAGTTCCTCCCTAATAGCACAACTCAGAACATGAGATTTTGAGATGCATTCTCTTTGAAAACTCTCCTAATATACCGATAAAGTTACATAGTTGGATACTATACTTTTCATAGTACGATTTTAATTTCTTGTATTTATGTTTGAGAAAAAAATAAATTAAAAATATGCAGGGATGGACCATTAGATTGTAATGCCTAAATCATACTAGCGATGAAGTAAGTCTAGATTTTTTTTTTTATGTAATCGACGTCAAGGACTTCAAAATTATTTTCTCTCTCTTACAATTTTTTCTTTTCCACTATCGTCGGAATGGAAATTGTACAATACAACGACAAAACAATCAAAAAGGATATGGTAATATCGGTGAAGCCAAAAAAAATATTGACAACATCTTCTTATAACTATATTGTCGTGTATTGCATCGTGTATCCGTTACGGGATTCTACTCATCAACATATTCTTTGTTTTACTTTATATCGTTGAATTTTTTCGCTAAGTCGCCACAAAACATATTTTTTGTAGGATAACGTTGACAAAGACAGACTCTATCATCCTTTGTCGCTATCTTTTTTTGGCTTAACCGACATTACCAAAAAAAAAAAAAATGTTTTTGTCGTTGCGTTATCTATTTTATACTTTGACCATAAATTTTTTTATTTAACAAATTTTTTTAATAAAAATTTAAAGTGAATAAATAATATAATGATAGGTTTAAAAATTAAAAAAAAATTACTTAAGAAAAAAATCTAATGGCTATCAATTCAATGGTGTGTCATGAATATTACTTCTGTTTTTAAATGTCCAATACTTTTATGAAATGGATTCAATTTTTTGTTATTAAAATGACTAAGTGATAGATGTAATAGAAAAAAAATTAAGAACAAAAAATCTAATACCTATTAATGGTGTATAAAATATATTATTATTATTACTTTTAAATGTCAAATACTTTTTATGAAATGGATTAAAGTTTTTTTTATTAAAGTGAATAAGTGATACAATTATAGGTTTAAAAGTAACAATGTTACTCCTTACCAAAAAAAAAAGTAACAATGTTACTTAATAAAAAAAATCTTTTTTTTTTTCTTTTGAACAAAAGATTTCATTCATTCAAACAAAGAAGCTGTTATAGAAAAAAATCTAATATAGACAAAAGGTTTATGAAACTTCTTATTACATTTTTCAAAAATGTCCAATACCTTCTTCTTCTTTTTTTTTTTTAATGAAGAATAGATTATTTTGTTAGAAAACAAAATAATGCAACACTTGTGACAAAATAGAATAATTGCAGTGTAACGCACACACGCGGTTAACGCGTGGTGAATAATATTTTGACTTAAAAAGTTAAAAAGCTTTGACTTATGGAGGGGTCGCTTGTTTCGAGGGTAACGTACGGACTCCCACTAATATACTTCCACGTGGCGAGACGGTGCAGTTGACGGAAGAGTTAGACGAGCGTTATTTTTTATACGTTACACTCCGTTAATTATCGCCGTTAAATCTAAAAGTCTGCCGTTTACCCTTCTGGTCCGGTAAGTATTTAATGAGAAATTTACTCCTCCATTTATTGCCAAAGGAAAGAAAAAAACTTAGAGAGAGAGTGAGAAAAGCTCCCAAAAAAAAAAAAACTCTTAGAGATTAGAGAGAGAATTAATCTTTGGTTTTTTTTTTTTTTTTTTTTTTTTCATTTCTCTGAAGCTTAACAAGGTAAGAAAGTGTGAGAAAACAAGAGAAAGTGAAAGAAAATCTCTATATTTTTCTAGAAAAAATATCACTAGAAACAGTGCCATTATCTGGTTTGTGTTGTGTTCTTTTTTAATGTTTTTAAAAACTTACACAAACCCTAATTTTAATATTTTTCTCGTGAGCGTTTTCTTTGAATATTGTCTCCTTAATCCATATATCTTCTCATGAATGCTCAGATAGTGTGTCTTTATATTTTTTTTATTAGTTGGACCTGTTTTTCTTAAATTTTTTGAAAATATTTCATGAGCAATAAATGTATTTTTATCAGTTACGTTTTTTGTGTATTTAATTTAAAATATTTTCTGAACAATGAACCGATCTAGCTGTCGTCTCTGGTAATTAAATCTTATTTTTCATGCTTTGTTCCTCTTGCATTTGAGATTAATTCTAAAATATTTTCATGCACTGATTCTTCTTCTTGAATCTTTACTTCCTCAAGATTTCAAAAACAAAACCCTAACTAATATCCTTGTTAATCATCATTAGGTTTTTTAATCTATTAAGTGATGTTGACAATCGGAGAAGGAAATGTGATGGCTTCAGACAACAGATTTGCTTCGCCGCAAGCACCGTCTTCTTCTTCTCCGGGAACAATCCAAAACCCTAATTTTAATTTCATCCCTTTTAACTCATTTTCATCCATTATCCCGGTTTGTTCCTTGTTAAAGACTTTCAAAAATCTCTCTCTTTTTTTATTCTTGAAATTTCCAAATCTTTCATTTACTTTTTTTTTTTTGGTTTTGACTCATTTTCTAGAAGGAGGAGCATGGGATGATGAGTATGATGATGATGATGGGAGATGGAACAGTAGAAGAAATGATGGAAAACGGGTCAGCAGGCGGGTCGTTCGGGTCGGGTAGTGAACAAGCAGAAGATCCAAAGTTCGGAAACGAATCTGATGTCAATGAACTTCAAGACGATGAACAACCTCCTCCGGCTAAGAAGAAACGTTACCACAGACACACTAATCATCAGATCCAAGAAATGGAAGCGTATGTTTTGCCTTTTTATATTATATTTTTTTATTATCCACTCGGGTGTGTTCAATCTAGTTTTTATAAATATATCTTGATTTAGTTCTGCTAGGTTTTGTATAGTTTTTTGGTTTAGATACTGATATTTTATCTTGATTTATAGGCTTTCCCCTTTTATGTGAATTTTTATTTTGATTTGATTATTCTTCCAATTTTTATTTGTTCGTTTTACCAAACTGAATACACCTATATATATTTTTCTGTAAATAGATCTCATGATTGGAGATTATATTTTGATAAAAGTAGTGATTAAAATTATATCTTGTAGGTTGTTTAAAGAAAACCCTCATCCAGACGACAAACAAAGAAAGAGGTTAAGTGATGAACTTGGTCTTAAGCCTCGACAAGTCAAGTTTTGGTTCCAAAATAGGCGAACCCAAATGAAGGTAACTACAAATTCAACAAAAAATTATGAAAGTTTCAACTTATAATAATGAAATCGTAAATTTTAGTACGTTCATATATATAAAAGATTAAAAAGTATTTTTGACAATCTAATGAATTATTTGCGTGAGTTGAATCAATAGGCACAGCAAGACAGAAATGAGAACGTGATGTTAAGGGCAGAGAACGATAATCTTAAGTCGGAGAATTGTCATCTTCAGGCGGAGCTACGGTGCCTCTCTTGTCCTTCTTGCGGCGGCCCCACTGTCCTCGGCGACATTCCTTTCAACGAGCTCCACATTGAGAACTGTCGCCTCCGTGAAGAGGTAACCATTTGCATTTAACAATTATGTTTACAATTAACAGATAAGTTTTCCTTAATATGTTTAACATGTGGTTCGATTAATTGAATTCAATTTTCATTGGGTTTGTTATGCTTTGGGAAAATATATCAAAGAATTATTGAAAGAAAAAAACATTTTGTATTGACAAAAAAAAAAAAACATTTGGTTCGGTTCATTTGTGTAATTTAGAACATTGGTGAAAATATCCAGCCCTAACACAATATTGATTGTTGATTCCACAGCTTGATCGTCTGTGCTGCATTGCTTCGAGATACACTGGCCGTCCGATGCAATCCATGCCATCATCTCAGCCGTTGATCAACTCTTCTCCGATGCTTCCACATCATCAACCTTCATTGGAGCTAGACATGAGTGTATACGCTGGGAACTTTCCGGAACAATCTTGTACAGACATGATGATGCTTCCACCACAAGATACAGCTTGTTTCTTCCCAGATCAAACTGTCAACAACAACAACAGCAATATGTTACTTGCGGATGAAGAAAAGGTTATCGCTATGGAATTCGCTGTCTCTTGTGTTCAAGAACTTACTAAAATGTGTGACACAGAAGAGCCTTTGTGGATTAAGAAGAAATCAGACAAGATTGGTGGCGAGACTTTGTGTCTGAATGAGGAAGAGTACATGAGGTTGTTCCCATGGCCAATGGAGAATCATAACAACAAAGGGGATTTTCATCGAGAAGCTTCAAAGGCAAATGCAGTCGTTATCATGAACAGCATAACGCTAGTTGACGCGTTTCTGAATGCTGTAAGTAGTACACTTTTCGCAAAGGCCTCTGATTTGATTACTTTGATTATTGATTAATTTCGCGATTTTGATTTGAAGGATAAATGGTCAGAGATGTTCTGTTCAATCGTGGCTAGGGCGAAAACGGTTCAGATCATTTCATCTGGAGTTTCTGGAGCTAGTGGTTCTCTTCTTCTGGTAATTTAGTAATTGATTTGATTTATAAGCGGGAACAAACGCAACAGCTTCTTGCTAATGGAATCTATGTTGTTATGTTTTACAAGATGTTTGCAGAGTTACAGGTACTATCTCCATTGGTTCCAACTAGAGAAGCTTATTTTCTTCGGTATGTGGAACAAAACGCGGAAACCGGAAATTGGGCGATTGTGGATTTCCCGATCGATAGCTTCCATGACCAAATGCAGCCACTGAATACTATTACTCATGAGTATAAGAGAAAACCTTCAGGCTGCATCATCCAAGACATGCCTAATGGATACTCACAAGTCAAGTGGGTAGAGCATGTTGAAGTAGATGAGAAACATGTGCACGAGACCTTCGCTGAGTATGTGAAAAGCGGAATGGCCTTTGGAGCTAATCGTTGGCTTGACGTGTTGCAGAGACAATGCGAGAGGATCGCTAGTCTAATGGCTAGAAACATAACTGACCTTGGAGGCTAGTAGTCTAAATCATATCCCTCAATTCTTAAAACCCTTAAACCGCTAAATCACAAAATCTCTGTTTCCATTTTGCAGTGATATCTTCTGCTGAAGCAAGGAGGAACATAATGAGGTTATCACAGAGACTGGTGAAAACATTCTGTGTGAATATGAGCACTGCTTACGGACAATCTTGGACAGCTTTGTCGGAGACAACTAAGGACACCGTGAGGATCACGACAAGGAAAATGTGTGAACCTGGTCAGCCTACAGGAGTTGTTCTTTGTGCTGTCTCAACCACTTGGCTTCCATTTTCTCACCATCAAGTCTTTGATCTTATCCGTGATCAACATCACCAATCTCTGGTAAACAAAAACTAGACTCTTCTCTCTGTTCTTGATGCAAAACCCTAAGATTTTTTCTTGTGCAGCTAGAGGTTTTGTTCAATGGTAATTCACCTCATGAAGTTGCTCATATCGCAAATGGTTCACATCCTGGAAATTGCATCTCTCTTCTTCGAATCAATGTAAGTTTCAGAGATTTCAAAACCCTAATTCAAAGATTGGTATTAATTAGGGTTTTTGCAGGTCGCAAGCAATTCATGGCACAATGTTGAGCTGATGCTTCAAGAGAGCTGCATTGATAACTCCGGTAGCTTAATCGTCTACTCCACCGTCGACGTTGACTCAATCCAGCTGGCGATGAACGGTGAAGATTCTTCAAGTATTCCGATTTTACCCCTCGGGTTCTCCATCGTACCCGTGAATCCTCCCGAGGGTGTTTCTGTCAATTCGAATTCTCCTCCGTCGTGTCTTCTCACCGTTGGGATTCAGGTCTTGGCGAGCAACGTTCCAACCGCGAAACCGAATCTCTCCACCGTCACCACCATCAATAACCATCTCTGCGCCACCGTTAATCAGATTACTTCCGCCCTCAGCAGCACCATTACGCCGGCGATTGAATCTTCCGCCGCCGCGTCCAAACAAGAAGTCAGCTAATTGACCGAATTACCCTTAAACCTCCTTGCTTTTTCAGTCAAAGAGCAGTCCCGAGGCAGGGGTAAAATAGTAAATGTGAAAAGAGGGAGGTTCATAGGTAATTCGGTTATGGCTTCGAGGTTGTTTTGGTAAATAACGTAGCATCTAAATGGATAAGCCTTTTAGGTTATTTTCGGTTTATTTATGGTAAGGGTAAAATGGGAAACTAGTTTATGTTTTTGGCTGTTTTTGTGGGGAGGGTCATAATGGTAATTAGAGGAAGTCAAGAGCGCACCAGGTTGATAAAGTTGACCTTTTTGTTTTCTGAACCGGATTATCGGTCTAACCGGTTTACGGTTTAATAGAAAAGCGTAGCTGGTTCGGGTATTGACTTTCTACTTGGTTTGACTCCTTTGAAATGTTTTTGCTTATTTGCAATTAATATGCTACTACCTTCTTTATACTTTTTGGCTTTTCGTATTCAATGTTTTGGTATTTTAATTAATTCTATATAAAATATCGAAATGGGACGATTTATATTACCATTTTTAGCTAAAGATAATACTTCTCGTGGGGTTTGAATATTTGCTGGTTGAGTCTCATTTAATGATTAGTATCATGCACATTAGAATTAACATATTTTAAAATGCTAATATCTGGCGATTGCGACGGACTTTATTTTTATTTTTTTTATCATTATTGCGACAGACTATACAATGATTAAGTTCGTGCCAATAAAGTATTTAAGTAGACAAAGATTCCTATGTTTGGAATTATCTTCATGTTACTTGTGTCAAATTTAAGTTCCATTGTATGCATATTACATAAATTCTTTTCAACACTAATATTTAATTCAGAAAAACAAGTTGATAAGAGGATATGATTCTTTTTTTTCGAAAAAGAAACACTTTATTTCATTGATATATATGAAACATATAACAAATTACAACAATAGGTAAAGATATCATCAACGTGGAATTTCAAAAACAAGAATGAAATGTGGTATATAGAATCTCAATTTAAAATGCGTAATCTCTAGGCACATTTGAAACCAGATGGAACCTTCTTACCACAATGGTTTAGGACAACGTTCAAAGAAATGGGAACATTAAGGTTGATACCAAGAAGATTAGCCTTTAGGGCGGTGCAAAGACAGACCGCCGCTTCAAGATCAACTAGACCTTTGATAAGAGCGCAACATTTGGACGTTGGTGGTAGAGAAACCTTGACCAAATCCAACACGTTAGCGCACACCTTAAGTTTAAGAGCGTCTTTACAAGTGGGTTTGTGGTTAGGAGATGAAGTTGAGGGTTTCTTGGGCGGTGGTGGTGGACAAGGGACTGATGTCGAGCTGACGAAAGTGAAGAAGATGACATTGAAGAGGAGGAGAAGAGCAATCTTAGAATAAGCCATTGAGAAAGAAGTAAAGTTTCAATAAGAGTAATTCTTATAAAAGGTACAAGAAAACCCTTAAAACTCTCTCTTTATCGAGCTTGTGATGTGTTGTGTGAAGAATATGGAGATAGTGATAGGGTTTTTATAGGTGAAGATTAAGATTGGTTTATGTGTTTTTAATTACAAATAGACGAGTGGAAACTAAATGACGAAATTTCAATGAACTGTTCATGTGAGGGATCATTTTAAATACTAGGTGAATACCCGTGCTACGCACGGGTTTTTTTTATTTAAGTAATTATAAATTTATTCTTTAAAGCTAAAAATTATTGTGAAGTCATCAATTTGTAGGATTGTACTATGCAACTATTTAATTTGATTAGGAATATTTTTTTATAACTTTGCTTACTCTTCAATTTACTTAAATAAGCAACTTCTATGTCGCTTACAACAAAATTTAGTATTGAATTGTTGTCAATTCCTCATATCATAAGAAGACTCATTTCCTCTTTACCTCTGCGCTTTCTTGAACTAACATTCTACAGTTGTTATTTTTTCTCAACTAATCTTTCAAACGACAGCGAAAACTCCCCTTCTCTTCTAAGAGGGGTGTATTGAATTAAGGATTTTAGAAAATTTTGGTTTTTTCCTAAAATCACATGTTATTCAACTAGTGATTTCTAAATATGTTTTCAAATCCTATGTTATTGGAATAGGAATTTAGGTAAAATCATTCCAAATCATTTACAATCTCTTGTTATTCAAATAGTAATTTGTAAAAGTCATACCAAATCTACTGTTATTCAAATGTTAACAAGCCTTTTTTAAAAAAATATTGAAATGGATTTTGAGAGACTTTTTGATACATGTTTAGTTGAAAATTAGGGCTGAGAAAATCACACCTTTAGAGGTGTAATTTGGATGGATTTCAGAAATAAAAATATCCACATTACAATAGCACAAATTTAAAAACTCGCTCATCATTGTTTCGCCTTGTTGTTCAATCTCGAAAACAGTGATTCTCGGTGAACGTCGACCTTCAGTTTCAGGTATGAGAAACGTTGAACCACTTCTTCTCCATATCGTATATGCTCCCTTCAATGAGATGATTCAATTGGTGGAGAACATTCGGGAAACTATACCGAACAAAGCAGAAAATCGACCGACAGGACGAACGGCGTCGGCGGAGGAGGAGCTGGAAGATCTGCATGTCCTGTCATGTCCTAAAATCACATGTTTTCCACGATCAATCTCTGGTTATTTTCTCCAGTTTATACGATGTGGAAGGGTTTCAATTTCTAAATTGCAGCTCTATGTATTTTTAAAACAAAATTGATGAGAAGCTTGAACATAGAATTGTAAAGTCACGAAGGTTTCTTTTCTCATAGCCATAAATAAGCCACAATTTACATCTCAGAACACTTGTTTATATGAATGAAGTTGCAAAAGTGGTTATCTTAACTCCATATCTCTCAAGATGAACTCCATCAATATGCAAAAAAAACCCTTTAGAAAATACTTAAAACAGAATTATAAAGAAGGGATAATTAATGGATTACTTAACTAGAAGTATAAAAGTTTACTAGGTTGTAATAGATCACCTAGTACCATGGTTGTGTACTACCCATTAAGCAATCGAAATCTTCCATAAATGATAAGCTTATTGGATTATTCATGGTACTAGGAAAACAGGTAGGGGTGTCAAAATGGGTTAATACCCATAGGTTACCCGAACCCGCCCATGGTTTTAGTGGGTTTGGGTAGAATTTTTTTACCCATATATATAAATGGGTTTTAGTGGGTTACCCTATTAGGGTTATGGGTTTAATGGGTAAAACCCATTAGGGTCATGGGTTACCCATGGGTTTCATAACCAAAACTAAAAAGTAAAATTTATATATATCTATATTAATATATTATGTAAAATTCATATAAATATATGTAAAATATCTATATATATGGTTTTAAGATTATTTTTTCTTTTTTATTTGGTTTGATGGTTCTTTGGATTTTTGGTTTTAAGATTTTAGGATGCTTTTCTATTTTAATATCTAGATTTTTTTAATTTATTATTTAAAAACTTTTGTTGGTTTACAATTTTATGTTATTTTTTTGGATTTTTATTATTTATATATTTTATTATACATATATATGGGTACCCATATAACCCATTAAGCCAATGGATTTCTACAATAATGGGTTTGGGTATATAAATTCAACCCATATAAATATATGGGTCGGGTCAAACTCGTCCATTAAACACTCGAACCCATATGGGTTTGGATCGGGTCGGGTCGGGTTACCTTTTTGACACCCCTAAAAACAGGTGAACTGAACATTAGTAGAGGTAATGAAGAACAAGATGAAAGACTACATGTAGCACAAAAAAAAGGTTGAACAGAGAATTAATAGAGGTTAATAATTACCAAAAAATAATTTTGGGATGTCACACAAAATACTCCAATATCTTCTCAAATTTCATAACAAATCTCACCAAATGACCATTACAATTTTCTTTTTAATTATAATAAATCTTCTTAAAATTCACCAAATCACCGGATATTTTTCAGAGTCTCCTCAAATCTAAAATCCACCAAATATTCCAAAATCATTAATTCAATACACCCCCCTAAATATATAAATCTTTCTTTCTCCACCATCGTTCTTTGGCTCCTCTTTTTTATCCTACAAGCTTGTTTACATACAAACGTCTGAGATAGAATAAGCGACGTATTAATTATCATCGTTCCGATGGAAAACGTGGACAAGAGTGGAGAAACATGCATTACCATATTATATATAATATCTAGAAAGCAAATATAATATCACATCATTCAACATGAGGCCATTCATCAATGTTAAAACACGTTATTCACTCGCAAAAGTTCATAATCTCCTATCCTCACAATTATTCCATCGTGTATGCGTGTAGCGCCTTGCTCTTTGCTTAACATCCATTTAGCCACCTATATTTGTCACTAAACTTATCAACTCATGACGTCATATTTAGCAAAACTTACACTTGAAAATAAGAAGTCATGTTACTTTACTTGAATCACACGATGCCACTGGCTTCACTTAAAGATTTGCAAAACCTTAGCTGCAACAATAATGGGAAAATATGCCGTCCAACCTACCCATCTGTTTCAAAGGTCCATAAACAGCCTCTTTTTCATTTGGGAGTCCATAGAGCTGCATATCAACATGGCCTATTTTATCATCGTTTCAGTCACGAAAAAACATATTTTGTACATGATTTTTCTCACTTATCATTCGGACAAGATTAGGTGCTTTCTGTCCAGACCCAGCAGAGTAGAGTCATTTTTCTTCTGCAAATGTTGCTCTTTCTTCCCCACCTTTTTATTTCCTTCCTAATGAATCACTAAAATTGGTTTATGAAAAAATTGGGAAAGAGAGGAGGTGGTGAGAATAAAGAGGGGTTCGGAACAAACAAAGTCAAAGACTACTCAAGAAAGAGATGGAACCTAACATAATTTCCAACATATATATCACTTGTAATGTAACAAACAAACCTCTCCATAAACTCTGTCGTCCAATTTTCCGGCTTGCTTCTCTAAAAACTTGAAAACAATTCCACCGTAATGACATGTTGTGATTCACTTCACATGTATCATAAGCAACCAAGTTTTAAAGCTAAAGAACCAACAAAGGTAGATTCTAACAAAACAAAAAATAGCCACTAAACAGAAAAACAATAACTACAAGAACATATTACCTTTGCCCTGATGCAAAAACCAAACATTTTAGCCTTCAACGTGGAGTAACTTCCACAACTTGCAAACTCAAGCAACGAAAAGCATACAAATTCCTTGAATTTCTGAGATTTGAAGAATTCACATCTTAAAAACATAAACAATCTCAAATAGAATTTTACAGTATGAATTTTTGTCGAAGGAGTAAATTCCCTGGTAACACAACAACTTGTTGATAATGAATTATAGTCAATATGAGAAGAAAAGGGAAACGATATACCTGGAAATGACCAACGGATATTTTGATTCCTTGCTGGACCATCCAGGCCCTACGATAATAAAATTAAGAACATTAGAGAGATGTGGAATGATCCCAAATACAGAAAAAGTTTATATATTAGAAAGAAGTGACAAATTTAGAAACCTGGACCCTTTGCGCAATAAACAAGCTCAAGTAGAGACTTAGATTTTACGGTAGGAAACCGTTATCTTGCTCACTTTGTTATGCATAATTGACAAAATTGATGCATGGGATTTCCAACAAGTAAACAACCTATAGATTTCATAACAGTCGATGATTGTTGTTAGAAAGAAGAGACCCCTTCGTATCACGCATTCGTAGAGGGTAGAGTTCGGGTATTTTTCTTTTTTTTTGTCTGTGGAATTACTTATTAAGGAGTGGTAATTGTTTAGCAAAAATCTAGATTATCTTTCGATTCAGCTTCGAGATCCATAATTGATGGCTATAACGTTTTAACCCTTTAATACAGAAGAAGATGAAGTGGCTCTTCACGTGTCCACGTGTCAGTCTCTTGTATGCTGACGTGTCATTCATATGGAGAGAGTTAATCTCTTTTTATATATATGATTATGATGAATTGATTGATCTTACAAACTGTCATCAAGATATTTCATATTTGTATCGTTGCATGTAACATGCAAGAGTCATTATATGAGTGGACATATATATAGATAAGACTTATAACCCATTAGACAATAATTAACGGTTGCTAAATCTGGGATAAGAGAACTTTGAACTGATATATTATCTTCCAAAATAACAATGTTGAATTAAACCATTGTTGGAACATTGTGTTACGTACATTGAGGTTGATAAAATGTTGGCAGATCAAAGTTTTAAATTTGTTTTTCAGAAAAATTATTAGCCTTGCTTATGAATATTGTAGTTTTTAAAAAAATTATATTGTTCTGTTTTTTTCTTTCTCTTTATATGTTTATTGAATGAAAACAATTTTGGGAAAATAACTTTTTTATCTTCCGATATTGTTTTCCCCAACTGAACATCTATATGCACTTAGATGTTATATTTCCATCATTAATATATAAAACATAAAAGAAAAACATTAGGCACAAAAAAAATTATGAATATTTAGTATCTAAATCTATTCTCAAAGATATGTGTTATGTGTATATATATCTGTGAAACAACATGAACATTATATAAGTGGCGGAGGTAATAAAGGATAAGGTTATGTGACCCCTATAAATTTTACATATTAGTTATTTTTTTGAAGAAATATTTGGTTAAAATTAGTGTTTAATTCCTATATATTTTTGTTTCAACTTCCAAATGACCCCTTTAATTCATATAATTTTTAATTTATTGTTCATCGTTTTTTTATTATGACTCCTATAAAATTTATTTTTAGATCTGCCACTGCATTATATTATAAGGATTTGAAGACATGTAGTGACTCAACAATAACATTGACACAAACATCTAGGCTATATATATATTTGTCATCTATTATATGTTAATATATTTTTTATACAAACTTTTATAAAAATTGTTTTCAATAATTTCCAAATAATATCAAGTTTCAGCTTTCATTTTTTTCTATTTTTCTGATGTGTTATTGGGGCTGAAAATGTTTGGTCTGTTTATAATAGCTTAGAATAAGCCATTGATGAAAGTAAAGTTGTAAGGAATTAAATAATGTTTGTTCATTTGATAGATTATTATTAAGATATTGATGGATTAATTGATTGATCTTCCAACCTGTCAAGAAATATTATTTTACATGTAACATGCAAAAAGATACTAATTAAGCTGACAAGGATAAGCTTATTAAGTTCATTTAAACCGTAAACAAATAATGCATTTGTCGACTATATGTGTACTGCAATTCGATTTTTGTTCTTTTCTTTTTTTTTTTGGCTATGCAAAACCCATGTGTTCTTTTGGAACGTTCATGTGATTTGGGCAAGCTCATAATGTTATATTTTTTGTGATTGGAGATATCGGATAATAAAGATAAACGTTGATACTATAATAGTATAATTTACAAATGGTGGCTCCAAAATCGATATATAGTTTCTACTAAATAAACAACACAATCACTATGTATTGGATTACAATAATTTATATCGCTATGAATAGTCAATAAAATTTTGCTTATCATACATAGATGATAGATTAGATCGCGTCCGTCAATTTTTCTTTTTTTTTTATTTACACTACTTTGTGACATTTTTTTTTGTGTGCAAATTTGTGACTATAAACTTGATTATGAATGATTTTCGGTTTTATTTTATTAATTTATACGGTTTCCATAAAATTTTATGATTTTTATAAATATTTTCCTGTTTTAGATTGCTGTAGAATATTGTTCACTACTGTATATGTTTTACAACATAATTTTTTTATTCAAAACAATTTATATATGTTGTGCTAGACGAATACATTAATTATATATGTTAGACGGTTGAACTTGTTTGTATGGGGAGAACGACGATGTTGTTGGATTGCTAATGAGTGTAGGTCAAGCGATTCGACCGTTGTGGACCGAACTCAACTCAAACTAAATCGGTATATACGCAGTCCACATTTATCCTTCGGCTGCCGACTGGGAAATGCTTTGTGAATTTAGGTCTCCAATGTGTTTTATTTTTGTCATAGGTGTATTGTATTTAACTAGTTAAGGTTTGGTTTCATTTGCTCTTTTTTGTAGTTCGCATAAAAAACTCTATCATGATGAATTGATGAAGCCAGCGCAAGCCTGCCTAATAATTTTAGTAGAGATATTGGGCCGGTTAGAGAGTGGGCCATTTAGGCCCAACATCTGCAAATTGATATATTGTTTTAAATTTGGGCTCTCTCTCAAATGCCTTTTACTACACATATAGAAACATGAAAGAAAAGTAATAATACAAACATATCACCCTAAATTTGCGCATTTGATCATACTGAACAATCAAGATTGACAGATTTTTTGAAAAAAAGAAGGCAAAGATTAATTTTTCTTTCATTTTTCTTTTTTCTCTTAATGCTTTGTGGCGATTGAAAAGGTTTGGTTTGTCTTTAGCCTAACAAGTAGAGATATGTGGCCTTCCAAGTGTCATTGGTCAATTTCTGGCCTTCGATGATAAGAATTCATAATTTTCTTATAACGTTTCTCATATGATATAAAGACACGTTAGTAACATTTTGTCTGTTGATTCAAAGATCATGGATTTGATATTTGTAATAATGAGTTTTGCTTTTGCTAAAATGTGTGTGAGTTCAGTGTTTCTGATGATTAGCAACCTAATTAGCATGTCTTGTAAATATTTACTGAATTAGTGTTAGTGTACAAATAGTTATTATTTTACTAGAAGGTGAAATTTAGTGAAATGACTACAAAATTAAAATTGTATATATAATTAATAATTCTATTTAAAAACAAAGAAAACAAACCCCATTAAATTTCTCTCTAATGATACCTCAATAATTTTTATTTTTTTTTGAATTGGCAAACAATACATCTTAAAAAATAAATTTATCTTAATCAAAACACTAGGTTATTATGATTCCTTTTTAAGAATCGAGTAATGAATTAGTTGGATGGAATAAAATATGTTAATATCTTGACGAAAAATAACATTAAACTTCATTAGTTTGGTCAGAAATTGTAGAGTTTAATAAATGATGAGAATAAGGTATGTGGTGCGGCCGTCATGAACACAGTACTATTTTTGTGACCTCTCATTTTCTGTATTGTCCAAATTATTCACCATTTATTTGTTATATTATTAAATTATTATTTAGATTCAACTTTTTATTTTATTTTTCACATTCTTTTGTTGGTTAGAAATAGTGTGTAAACGCGGGAAAAGTGACGGCAGCTTAAGATTAACATTATTCGACGTCGGCTGTTCTTTTTTTTTGTTTTTTTTCACGTCTAAACGTAAAGGGTAAGAATCGAATCTACTTGATGGTTTCTATCTAACTACAACTTACGAATTCTTTTAATAGAAACTAGATTCATTTTTTTTCAATAAGATGAGAATCATAATTCAAAATTCATTGTTTCTTTTCATTTATTCCACTCGTAGGATCAATACTACTAAACACTAAAACAAAAAAAAAAAAATACTAAACACTAATTAGCATCACTTTTTTCAATTGTCCTTTTGCCGTCGATTAATAGTAGAATGGTACTTTCTAGTGTAATTCCGCTAATACTTCACCAATAAAAAATTACATTAAATACTAAATAAACGTAAAATACAGCGTTTTACGTTTTGACTTAAAAATAAAAAAAATTTACAAGTAAGTGAATTTTCATATTTTATTTCACTTTCTAATATTACTATTTTTGATGTAATTATACGATTATAGTATATTGTTATCAATCCAAACCACTATACGTTTTATATTTAAATTTATAAATTAAAAATATGGTGGTCAAACAGATTTTAAAACAACGTGATGAGAATAGTTGAATAAAATTTTGGTCAAACAAATGTATTTAGGAGAAAAGTCGGTCAACTAAATTAGGAAAAGATTCATTGGTCATCGTCTCTTTAAATTCCGAAAGCAACAGACAAAAATGCGGAAAGATGCAAACACTTGTAATTACCATGTTTTGTTTTTATTAGTAAGAAGTTGTTTAGAGTTT